CCACGTTTGCCCTCCCCTCCCTTTCTATCCCTCCCTCCTCCATTTTTACACCATTTCCTTCCCCCTCCCCCCCGCCCTCTGCTTTCCCACCTCTCCCACCCTTTCCCATTCTTACCCCTTTTCCACTGAATAATTTGGGTTGGAAAGGACCTTTAGGATCACTGAGCCCAACTTTTCCTTCACTCCAGCTCTTTCCATCCCCCCCATCACCTTTCATCCTCCTGCACTTTCTCCCTGCGCCCTCCCCCCCCAACCCCTTTCTCTCTGATTTCCATCCAATCCCAGACTGGTTTGGGTGGGAAGGACCTCAAAGATCATCTAGATCCAACCTCCCACCAGCCCAGGCTGCTCCAGGGCCCATCTATGGAGCCCTGGGATGGTTTGGGTGGGAAGAACCTCAAAGACCATCTAGATCCAACCCCCCTGCATGGGCAGGGACACCTCCCAGCAGCCCAGGCTGCTCCAAGCTCCATCCAACCCTTGGATCCACCATCTATGGATTATCCAGGTGGTGTTGAAGGTCCTTCCAACCCAAACCATTCCCTGAAGACCCATCCAACCTGCCCTTGGACACTTCCAGCACCCACAGCACCTCCAGGAAACCTCTGCCAGGGTCTCACCACCCTCATTTCTTCCCTCATTCCTCATCTCTTCCAGCTGGAAACCCTTCCCCCTCATCCTGCGTTCCCAGAGCCCCCTCAGGCCCCTCCTGGAGGATTTGCCGGCACTTCAGGGGCTCTGAGGTCTCCCCGCAGCCTCAACACCTCAGCAGCAGAGCCGCGATCCCTCTTTTCCCCTCAATTTCCTCCTTTTATCGCGTTTTTCGCCCCTTCCCCCCTTCGCGCTTCTCCCCTCAGCGCTTCCCGCGCTTTCCCCGCTTACGCACTTTGCGTAAGCCTGGCGCTGAATCAGCCCCTGCGCAATTTGCGTAAACGTGGATGGGAATTAACCCCTGCGCACTTTTGCGTAAACCTGGTGCTGAATCGATCCCTTACGCACTTTGCGTAAACGTAGATGGGAATCAACACTTACGCACTTTGCGTGAATCTGGCGCTGAATCCACCCCTGCGCACTTTGCGTAAACGTAGATAGGAATCAAGCCTTACGCACTTTGCGTAAACCTGGCGCCGAATGAGCCCCATTAACTCCTCTGCACTTTGCGTAAACGTATAGAGGAATCAAGCCTTACGCACTTTGAGTAAAGTAGATGGGAATTAACCCCTGCGCACTTTGCGTAAACGTGGCTCTGAATCGACCTCTGCGCACTTTGCGTAAACGTAGATGAGCGTCAACGCCTGCGCGCTTTGCGTAGCGCGGCACCAACCCCCTTACGCCCCCTTGTGCACATTGCGTAAACGTGGATGAGAATCAATTCTTGCGCGCTTTGCGTAAACGCGGCTCTGAATCAGCCCCTGCGCACTTTGCGTAAACGTTGATGGGAATAAACCCCTTACGCACTTTGCGTAAACGTGGCTCTGAATCGGCCCCTGCGCACTTTGCGTACACGTGGATGGGAATGAACCCCTTACGCACTTTGCGTAGCGCGGCATCAACCCGCCCCTTTGCGCACTTTGCGTAAAAGTAGATGGGAATCAAGCCTTACGCACTTTGCGTAAACGTGGCTCTGAATGGGCCCCTGCGCACTTTGCGTAGCGCTGCACCCCACTCCCCCCTTACTCACTTTGCGTAGCGCGGCCCCGACCCCCCCCTTACGCCCATTTGCTCCGTTTGCGTAACCGCGTCCCAGCATCGCCCGGCTGCGCCGTTAGCGCAGGCCCCGCGCATGCGCAGCGGGCGGCGCGGCGCGGCGCGGGGGAAGATGGCGGCGGTGGTTCAGAACGTGGTGAAGCTGTGAGTGTTTCCCTGCCGGTCCCTGCCCCCTCACCCCGCGCTGGGAGGGGGGTAGGGAGGCCCGGCAGGCGGGGTTTGTCCCCCTTGGCGCGGCG